TATCTATGCTTCTTTCTGTATGTCTGCTTCTGTCTCCTTGAACCCCAGTCGGCCTCTTTGCTTGGGTTGCTCAACAATCATGTAGTCATTGTCAGGAGGTTTTTAAAATGGCTCAGTTTCATCATTCATAAAAAAAACAAAAAAACAAAGCTGGATGTTTCTTTCACCCAATAGGGATGAAGAAGTGTGTAAAAAAATAATTTTGCATTAAAGTTTAAAAATGAAAACGGAGATAGTTAAAAGAGATTCCAAAACCATGAATGAAGCGGTTTGCTTTGTGTGAAGGATATTACTGAGAGCTGATATCTGGGTCAGCAGGATGTTAGAACAACCTGTGATCCACTGCTGGCAGCAGGGGCGGGTCCTCAGAGAAAGCTATGGGACGGATATACAGACGCTGAAGGAGGAGGAGCAAGGGACAAATCTAAACGTTTCCATCACCTGATCTTCAGTCTCGATTTTGTCGCTGACATCTTTGGAGCCTTCTCCCTCTCCAATGCCGCCGCCCTCATAGTCATGAAACTCTGTGGCGCCCTCTCCATCCCCGCCGGGCAGCAGCTCCTGGGGTAGGCAGAAACCCTGACCCGGACCACAAGCAGAGGTTAGTTTTCCCCCCAACGTCACATGTGGTCATTGTTCAGGTAATCTGGGTTAATCCCTACCTTCTGGGCCAGCTCTGTGAAGATGCCGGACAGAACAGAGAGCAGCTTCCCTGTGCATCTGTGCACTCCGACCGACACAGACAGGTAGTGACGCACCAGGTCTGAGTAAATCCCCAGCAGTGGTTCGAAACGGACCAACATCCTGCAGGCCCGGTTCAGCTCCTGGAAAACAGACCAGAGCAGCCAGCAGAAGGTCAACCAACCAGCAGAGGTTAAGACTCACTAAGCTACGCTGCAGAGGATGGAGGATGGGCCTCCTGGCGATGAACAGAGCAGTTCAGCTCAGACATGGAGGTACCTGAAGCTGTTGTGGCTGACAGGAATCCCTGCGTCTCCTCATACGGCTCAGAAGCTCAGTTACTCCCATATTCACGCTGCCAACAGACAAAGCCTCCAGATCAGCTTCCAGCTCCTCCTCCAGCAGCCGAGTCAGATGACCAGGCTTCAGCAGGTCCTCCACAGGCTCCTCGGTTTCCTCGTCTGTGGCAACAGAATTAGATATCTGGATTACTTTCTTTCCCAGTGGAACCAGAGCACTCCGCTCTCAATCTGCAGGTTTACTAGTGGTTCCTAGAATTTCTAAAAGTAGAATGGGAGGCAGATCTTTTAGTTATCAGGCTCCTCTCCTGTGGAACCAACTACCAGTTTTAGTCCGTGAGGCAGACACCCTGTCTACTTTTAAGGCTAGACTTAAAACTTTCCTTTTTGATAAAACTTATAGTTAGAGTGGCTCAGGTTATCCTGAGCTATCTCTATAGTTATGCTGCTATAGGCTTAGACTGCTGGAGGACATAGGGACCCCTTTTTCATCATTCTATCTCTATTCTCCCACTCTGCAGAATCTGTTCGTCTGCTTGGCTGTGTGTTTCCTGGACGGGGCCGCCTGTGGAGCTGGTTGACAGTTGCCTTTTGTATCTATGCTTCTTTTTCTATCTCTGCTTCTGTCTCCTTGAACCCCAGTGGGCCTCAGCAGATGGCCGCTCACACTGAGCCTGGTTCTGCTGGAGGTTTCTTCCTGTTCAAAGGGAGTTTTTCCTCTCCACTGTCGCTACAAGCATGCTTAGTGTGAGGGATTGCTGAAGAGTCAATGAGTCGATGCAATCAGCTGGTTTTCCTTAGATAGAAAACTTTGAATCAATCTGACTGGATGATCTGGTGAACTGGAAAGGACCTTGAGATGACATGTGTTGTGAATTGGCGCCATAGAAATAAACTGAATTGAAAACCTGGCATCCCAGTTTACAGGATCAGGCTCCTCAGGAACCTGTCAAGCTGCTGAGGTCCTGCTCTGCTCAATATTGTCAGATCTGATCAGAAAAAGTGCCAAATATTGGGTTCATAGCAGGACAGAACAGGGACGCTCCGGGTGCTCGGAGAGAGCATGCGGGGTGTACATCATTTGGTCTGGAGCCCAGAAAGCCCTGCAGACATCGATCATTTCATGGCTACCTGTCTTTGGATCTCTGGGTTTCTCTGCTTCCTGCTCCTTCTCTCTTCTCTTCACCACTCTTTGGACGGCGCACAGAACCGCGTTGATGTTTGCCTCCAGCTCAGCAGAGAAGTCTGTAGAGAACGCGGACGGCTGATCTGCAGAGGAAACAGGACCAGAGGTTTTTGAGTCTAGCGGTTAGCTAATTCAGCTAATGCTTCATGAAGAACTAAACCAGGATCAGGCTGGTGAGGACGACCTGTGGGCTCTGGCTCTCCCAGGGACAGCAGCTGGCTCTTCCAGGTGCTGAACTCTGTAACGCATGTCTCCACCTGTCCTCGGACATACTGCAGGCTCTGCGTAACGGCCGGCTGGCTGTTGGCCCCGCCCACTTTGATGACGGGAGAGAAGAGGTGCTCCATGCTGGAGATCTGAGCGGCTACAGCTCCCAGCTGTTCCATGGCAGAACAGCAGGAGGCAAAACTGCTCCTGTAGAGAAAACATCCAGGGTGAAACATCCATCTTTAAGTTCTGTCAGACAGGATGATGATGATGATGATGATGATGATGATGATGATGATGATGATGATGATTTACCATGTGCAGAGAACCCTCTCCTTCTCCTGCTGTGCTACAGAGCCCAGCTGCTCCCTCAGAGTCTGAGCATCCTTCAGCATGGCAACCACTCGCTGGTGGAGCTGGCACCAACTGGGGTCCCCCCTCCTCAACAGGCAGCCGGGGGGCTGCTGCTGAGCGGCCAGAGGGGACGGGCACATCGGGGTCTGCTGCCCGCTGCCGCCCTGCTCCTTCTGCTGGGCGTCTTCAGGACAGCACTGCAGCAGCCATGACAGCTGCTGCAGCAGAGCGGCACACTGAGCCGCCAGTGCCTGGCCTCTCTGGATCCAGCCCTGCAGAGGCTCCTGGGGGGGGAGGGGGCAGCCCGCCGTCTGGAGGTGGGCTCTGACGTCCTGGACGTTGGCTGTTAGCTTCCTGGAGGAGGCAAGGAGACGAGGAAACCATGAGGAAAGCAGCCATAGTACGGGTCAACGGCACTATCGACCCGTTTAACGGGTCTAAAGAACTGGAACTAAACAGAAGCTGCCGTCTCCATGGGATTATCATCCTCGTCTTCATCATTAGGCCCTCTATAGTCACAGCAGCGCTCCATCCTCTGAATATGAGGATGTCCAAAAAAGTTAAAAAACAATCCACGGGACTTTGTTTCCAACTTTAAAGACGTTTCCCTTCCATCCAGGAAGCTTTTCAATTCAAAATGTCAGAAATAGCGTTTAGTTCCAGGTTTTATCCAGTAGCCCAACAAAGTCTGGTTTCTGTTTAGAAAACATGCAAATTCAAACGAATGAACGGATCCACCCCTTAGGAATGGGGGTCGCTTGGGTTCTTTGTTAGCCTGCATTACCTGTCTATGTCTCTGAAACGGCTACAATCTCGGTAACAAAGTCCCGTGGATTGTTTGTGAACTTTTTTAGAATAACTATGACCTGGATGACTGAGAATCTTCACCAGCATATTGCACTGTTGGAGTAAAGAGCTGGTTAGGGCTGGTTGTTGCAGATATGATTGATTTCTGCCCAGTATTGAAGCATGGTCTGTGCTATGTTATTCCACGCCACAACGCCAGAGGGCCAATCAGGAACTAGCTGTGGGTCTAGATACTGCCGAGGGGTGAGGAAGTGGGGGCAAGTTTGTGTGACAACGGAGGGACATGAGGGCCAAAAAGAGCGGGGATCCAGGTGGAAAAAGGGTTCCAGCGTTCTCGCCCACCTCGCTCCTCTTTTCTGGTTTGGTTTGTTTCAGAGACATGGACAGGTATGGGACATCGCATGCTAACAAAGAAGCCAAATGACCTCCATTCCAAAGGGGCGGACCTTATTGTCCGTTTCAATTTGCAAGCTTTCTAAACAAAAATAAGGCTTTGCTGGGCTGCTGTATAAAGCAGATGGTCATGGATTAGCGGACCAGGGACCGGATCCAGACACACCTGATTTAAAACATTTATGAATTAACACATGTTCAACAACAGTGTCTAACTTCACATGCGCCACTTCTCCTGTTAATACGGTAAAGCCCTCCAGAGCGTCCGGCTCCAGGCTGCACGTGATCCAGATGATCCAATGAGC